AGAATTGCGTATAAACTATATGTTAACAAAGGTGTTATAAATACTGATGTAATTTACGTGTAATCCTAAAAACTATAATACTAGACCATTTTTTTTCTTTGTAAATCAGTATTTGTCCTCATTTAACCCATACCATGTTGATGATATATTCTAGCGGCTCAAAATCTGGGCTGTTAACAGAAAAGTTATAGGTTTAAACCCCACAAGGGTTGATCCATGAACTATTACCAATGTGCCCTTGAGCAAAACACTGAACCCCAGGTTGCTCCGTAAGTGTCATATAAATCACTTTGTCAGCTAAATGACAAAGTAGCTGGTTTATAACAAACAAAACAATGATTGATTGTCATTGTGAGAGGCCATCACGAAACATTTACTGGAATTCATGCTGCTATGTTTTTGAAAATGATGTCATCTGCATGAATCAACCCAACACAATCGTTCTGAAGTGATCTCTTATAAACATCTGTGGTGTATGTGAATGATCGTCCGTGTCGTGACTGCATGCAGATCGCCATGACATCTCCGAAGAGCATTACCTTCACATTTACAGTACATTCTGTAAGGAGATGTCCCAGGTAGCTCCAGTCAAAATGAGATGAAACATCTGGTTTTGGTTGGCGCTCGTAAAGCTGATCCAACTGAATCCAGATCAGCGTTCCCAAGCTGGACTTGTCCTATGTGATTTTAATCCAAGGCAGGAAGCTCGGGTCAATTAATCGGTCAGGGCACACTGCGTCTTTAGGGAGTCGAAAACAACAAAAGAAAACCCGACCTTTACATTCTTGTTTACGTTAATTAATTTTTGCAAACCAACCATCATGTTTTAATTATGACTATCATACACTCTTAAAAGTAAAGGTTCTTTATTGGCATCAGTGATTTCATCAAGAACTTCCTTCCATTCCAAATAAGGTTCTTTAAAGTGGAAAAAGGTTCTTTAGATTTTGAAAATGCTCTTAACACAAAGAAATAAATGGTTCTTTTAAGAACTGTTCACTGAAAGGTTCTTTGATGAACCAAAAATTGCCTTTGGAACTTTTGGAACTATTCATACCAGGGCATTGAGTGCGTTTTGGAGTGATTGGTATTGAAATATCACTATTATATATTTCTAACGCAGTCTCCACATCAAAAAGCATCTTCCTTTTCCATGTATGTTCTGACAGACCACAGCAAGCGCATTGCTCTCCCTCAGGGTTTAACGTGTTTATTTCCATTGTGATAAAATTATCCTTCATTAGTCCTTCTCTCAGGGTCAATGCGGTCTTGGTGATGCATTATTTATTTTTGTCTTTTGAGACTGAGAGGGTCACTATACCGCACCTTTGCCTGGCACTGGATCTTCTCCCAGCGGATTTAAAACCCACTGGCTAGGGGAAAAAATACTGTGTTTGATAAACTTTCCAGCTCTTGAGTCCACACTGTTGAGTGCTCCACAAAAGGGAGCACCGAGGACACATCACAGCCGCAAAAGTGGCCCTCGTAAACACCCTTCTGAATCTTGAAATGACAAATGGGACTCCTAAACCAACCATCATGTTTTCATTATGACTATCATACACTCTTAAAAAAAGTAGTTTTTTTCTGGCATCTGTGTTTCCATGAAGAACCTTTAACATCCATGGAACCTTTTCCATTCCACAAAAGGTTTTTTATAGTTAAAAAGGTACTTTAGATTTTTTAAATGTTCTTCACACTGAGAAAAAAAAATGGTTGGAATTTTTCACTGAAAGTTTCTTTGGGGAACCAAAAATGGTTCTTCTATGGCATTGCTGCAAAAAGAGCTTCTGTCATATGTTGTGCTTTGAGGGTCAATCCAACATTTTGCAATATGCAATAGTATCTGAAATCCCAATTCTCTTTCTTTTGCTCAACAGTTAGAAAACTACATCCATCAGAAGACCGGGATGGTGCATTTTCAAGCTGATGCAGTCCATAACCAGACGGCCACTATGCTAGAGATCGGCACCAACCTGCTCACCCAAACCGCAGAGCAAACCAGGAAACTCAATGTGGTTGAAGCCAAGGTAATCTCATTCTTCATTATAGAAATGCATGAATATTAAGCAGCATAACTGTTTCCGTTGATAATAATAAGAAATGTTTCTAGAGCTGCAAATCAGCATATTTGAATGATTTCTGAAGGATCATGTGACACTGAAGACTGGATCATGTGACACTTTAAACACTGAAGTTGTTTAAAATTGTAATTATATATCACGATATTACTGTTTTTACTACATATGTATATTTGGGGTCCAAAAATCTGAGACCACACTGAAAATCTGGGATTTAAAAATTAATTTAAACCTGGAAAGTTGTTGAATGCTTCAAAATGTAAAACATAGAAATGTTATGGTGGAAGATCATGCTGGAAAAATCATAATGATTTTTTTTTATATTCTGCAATATCTAGGTCACAAATCAAATGTAATGACTGCCAGATTTTCTTTCTTCCATTGAAGCTCAAGAACATCTATAATCATTCTGGAAAACATAATTTGTTCGTAGCTGCTTTAGTTGTCATTTAAACAAAATTAAAAATTCATATTCATGTTTTTATTTAAAATGTTGTGCTGATTACATAATTTGTAATAACAATTCTCAGACTTTAGGACCCCACTGTATCATGTCATATATAAAATAATATATATGATTAATATATATGATAGTTTTCTGTAATTTCCCATTCTTCATTTTATTGAATTCCATTTGAAGGTTATGAACCAGACATCAAGAATTGCAGTTCAGTTATTAGAGAATTCATTGTCAACAAACAAACTGGAGAAGGAACTCTTAACACAGATTTCAGAAATCTCCAAACTTCAAGACAAGAACAGGTAAAACCTTTTAATGAATCTTTGTTTATTTCTTACATTTCTTTCTGTTTCAAATGCAGTCTACACTATAGTGTTTTGTCTGGTAACTTAAAATGTACTTTTTATTTTAACATCGGCAGAAAATTGTCAAACCGATTATTTAAAGGTGCAGTAGGAGATCTTGGAAAATGCTAACTTTAGCCTGATAGCACTGAAAGCGAACGTCCCACCCTCCCTGCAATCACCGTCCAAAGCCACGCCCCCTGAACACATATACGCTCACAAACCAGAATACCAGAAACAACATTACTACAATAGGCTAATCAGCGGTTCCCAGTTCCAGCCCATGTTCCGAAGTGAAGTAAACTTCAACGGATTTCCCCCGCTCAGGGAGTAGGGAGCAATGAACACTGTGTAGGG